CTTATACTCAAAGTCTAGCTGCAACACATCGTAAACCAAGACCCTCTACGTGTTTCACGAAGACATTGACAGTCAGAGTCTTCGTGAAAGGATCAGCTAGATTATCCAACGATGCTATCTTCGTCACAACCACATCTCCTCCTTTTACGATCTCTCGTATAAGGTGGTACTTTCTCTCGATGTGTTTACTGGCCTTATGTGCTCGGGGTTCTCTCGAGTTTGCGACTGCACCAGCGTTGTCACAATAAATTGTGATACACTTAGGCACACTCGAAGATACCCCTAAGTCCAGTAAGAAGCTCCTGATCCAAACAACCTCCTTTGTTGTTTCTGAAGCAGCAACGTATTCGGCTTCCATGGTAGAATCTGCGATGCATTTCTGCTTCACACTCCTCCATGAGATCGCTCCGCCTCTCATCATAAACACATAACCCGAGGTCGACTTTCTCTTATCTCTATCAGCTTAGAAATCAGAATCTGTGTAACCCAAAGGAGTTAGACCGTCTGACTGGTAAACAAGTATATAATCTCGAGTTCTTTTCAGATACTTGAGAATATGCTTTACCGCAGTCCAGTGTCCTTGACCAGGGTTAGACTGATATCTCGCAACCATGCCAACCGCATAGCAAATATCAGTTCTCGTGCACAGCATGGCATATATAAGGCTTCCTACAGCCGAAGGATAAGGAACCTTAGCCATTTCCTCTATCTCCTTTTGTGTCTTCGGACACATATCCTTAGATAGAGGAACTCCATGCCGAAAAGGTAGCAACCCTTTCTTGGAGTTCTGCATGCTGAAACGAGCAATCACAGTATCAATGTAAGCAGCTTGAGATAGGCACAACATTCTTTTCTTCCTGTCACGAATGACCTTGATTCCAAGAATGTACGATGCCTCACCCAAGTCCTTCATTTGAAACTGTTCTGAAAGCCATACCTTTACGTCTGACAAAATCTTGACATCATTGCCGATGAGAAGAATATCATCTACGTATAGTACCAAGAATACCACTACGTTTCCGTTGCTCTTTTTGTACACACAACTTTCGTCTTGACATTGATCAAATCCATAGGACTTGATCACCTCGTCAAAACGAATATTCCAAGACCTAGAAGCTTGTTTTAGTCCATAAAGAGACTTCTTTAGCTTCCATACTCGATGCTCTTGGCCTTTCTTTACATAACCCTCGGGTTGCTGCATATAGATGTCTTCATCCAAGTTTCCGTTAAGAAAAGCTGTCTTGACATCCATTTGCCAAACCTCATAGTCCATGGACTTGCTATGGATAAGAGAATCCGGATCGACTTAAGCATGGCTACCGGTGAGAAGGTCTCATCATAATCGATCCCCTCTTTCTGAGTGAAACCCTTTGCAACCAGCCGTGCTTTGAAGGAAATAACCTTCCCGTCAGATCCTCTCTTACGCCTATAGACCCATTTGCACCCAATGGCTTTCTTGCCTTCAAGAAGGTCCCTAAAGTCGTAGACATCCATAGCATCTATAGATTCAATCTCAGAATCC